CAGGGAGCAAGCGGAGTTGCCCGTACGTGGAGTTCATGTTGGGGGGGTGAGCAGCGTGTACTGTCTTACGAAGGCTTTTCCCCGGACATGGGGCTCGACCCCACACACATGACGATGACGAAGAGAGAGTACCCAACAGACTTCCACTACTAGGCAGCCTTCCAGGCCATCTGTTGCCCAGAGCACCAAGGCGACGAGTTTAAGGGCTCCAACACCAATGCAGTGAAGCTTCAGATGCCATGGAGGATCCTGCACACACTTCTGACGAAGTCCATCATCCCCATTCTGATCACAAACAGAGGGTTGATAGCCCTCCATACCCTTAACCGCCCAACAGAGCCACTCCATCTAGGATCAATGGTTGCCACCACCTTCGCCAGATGCCAGGGGCATGATCGAGTTGATACGATGCATCTGGGTGGCATCATCACGAGGATATCCCGCCACTTCGGGGTTGATGCGACATGGTGCTCTCTCATTGGCCATACTGAGCCATTACCGGTGGAGACTCTCTACAACAGGAAGTTGGTGCTCTAGGGAGAGTAAGGGAATGAGTTCCTCGAGGGACTCCAACCTTCGACCTCTCTTAGGCCACAGGTCGACCCTGCTCTAGTGGAGCCTAATACAGAGGTTCCTCCTCCAGAGAAGCCACCACCGGCTCACCACACCACCACCATAAGCAACATCGTCATCATCATCATCCGGAGCCGGACCATCCTCCTCTGGAGCCCACCTCAAGGAGCAGTTTGTGGGGGTCACCACTCAGCTCGATCGATCCACCGACCTCCTAGAGAGGATTGCTTGATGCCAGGACGTCCTTTCGGACGACAAGGAGTGATCTTGGACCCACGACGAGGTAGCCGACGAGTGAGACATGTGGCAGAGCCGATTTCTTTTGCCCCACTTCTCCACTTTCAAACTCTGCACTCTGTTTATTTTTATTTTTTCTTTCTTTAGTATGTGAACTAGTAACTTGTGCGTTATTTCCTTTGAATCGTGATGTGAAGCTTTGTTATGTGTAATAACCTTGCCTCGAACGAGAATATGCGTGTGTTTGTTTTTCATTTTGTTTTCCCTTTGAAGCTCAAACATTCCACCTTGGGAAATTCTCCAACTTTCATTCACCAAGCCATGCGGAAACATCGTTCTACCCCCGATTTTACGCTATTAAGGGAAATGTCAAGCTTAAGTGTGTGTGTGTGGGGGGGGGGGGGTAGTTTATTAGTATACTTGTGTGTGTGATTGAATTCTTGGAGCCTTGATGTATGCCCAAATTTGAAAAATTTGTGGGCTCCAAGCAATGCATGATCAAATGGCCGGTTAGTGGGTAAATCTCGTGCTTATTTGGCATTGATCTTGAATTGTTGCATGTGATCGAGTGCATCCTATTATGATGATTGAGAGTGCATTAGGTTTGTGCAAAAGCTTAGTTCTCATGTGTGCTTTAATGAATGGATGTCTTGATTTGGTTACTCCTTGATTACAATTGCCATGCATTGAATTTTTTGAATTGGAATAGATGATTGGGTGGCTAGGTAACAATGTGAGATTTGTGTCGATCGTCTTTTTCATGTTTAATAGATCCCTCTCGCCATGGTGTGTAACATTCACCATTGTCACTAGTGAGTATGATGGAGGCATATGATTAGTCCACGCCCAAAAGTTGATTGTCCCAAAATATCTTATCCCCTAGTCAACCCCTTTGAGCCGTGTGACTTTGGGGGTCGTTCTAATGTTAGGAGCTTTGTGCATGTTGAGCTTACTGGTGATTAAAAGAACGACCCATCATCCTTTCTTCGTGTCAAAGTGTGATTCATCCTTGTGTCTCGGAGTATATTGAACCAAGGACCATGGGCTACTATATGGCCCCACGGGCGGTGGATATTGAACCCGCCATTCAACATCCGCTCGTGGCCGCCAACAATTTCGAGATCAAGCCCGCCCTCGTCACCATGATCCAAAACAATGAACTGTTTCATGGGCTTAGCAATAAGTCTCCAAGGGAGTATGTTTAGAAGTTCATCAAACTTGCGGGGAGTATGAAGATCAATGGTGTTCCTGAGGATGCTTTGAAGTTGAGGCTATTCCCCTACTATCTTGCGGGGAATGAGTCTCGGTGGCTCAACAATACACCGGCTCTTTCGATCACATCGTGGGATGACATGTTCAACAAGTTTATGACTCGATATTGCCCACCTTCAAAGACGGGGGAGTGGCAAAAGAAGATCACCCACTTTGACCAAGAGGAAGATGAGACTTCGAGGGATGCTTGGGAAAGGTACTCTGACTTCTTCCTCCAATGCTCACATCATGAATTCGAGGAGCAATTTTGGATTGAGACCTTCTATGGCGGTCTCCAGCAAGACGACAAGATCCTCATTGACTCCTTATGTCAAGGGAAATTGATGAACATGACTCCACCCCAAGTGACCGAGTTTCTAGAAGACATGGCAAGTAAAGGGTATGATTGGGGTTTGACAAGATGTGGAAAGAGAAGCACTGAAGAGTAATGCAAACTGTAGGAGCGAGCCCCTCGCTTTAAGCTAAGATTGATCGGTTGTTTGATGCACTTTTAGAGGACAAGAAGCATGGGAAGAGGCCGCTAATGGTTTGTGATTGGTGTTCGAGTACCAACCACGAAATTTCGGAGTGTCAAATGATGAAGGAATCAAGCACCCCCGAGGATGTTTCCTCGGGAAAACTAAATGCCACCGTCGTTGCCGAATTCGTTTCCGGCAATGTTGATTTGATGTTTCGCGGTGGAAACTCTTGCGGTGCCGTTTGATCGAATGCACCGCTGATTGCTGAAATCGAGACGACCGTCAAATATCCGCCGCCGAATGTCGGCGCCGTTGATTTGATCGATGCACCTCTAAATGATGAAATCAACGTGACCGTCAAATATCCACCGCCGGGCGGTGTTGATTTGATCGATGCACCTCTGACTTCTAACCAAGAACGACCGTTACTACGGTTCGCACCTCTCCAAACTACGTTCGAACGAGGGTGTTTGAGTTTTGAGGAATCTACGCTACCGTTACTCCTATGGAGATTCCTATGGAGAGCTACAACTATGGAGATCCTTCCTGGAAGGAGAGCTCCGCGAAGGAGTTACAGAGAAAAGAGGTAAAGTTTGACAGATGTGTTTCTGTGTTGATTTGGTTGTCCTCCTCTCTCCTTGCTCTGTTGCTTTTATTTGAAAGCATCTTCGTAGTCTTCACGCAACTCTGTGTCAACTGCTTCGTCGTCCGGAGAACTCCCACATGTCTCAACCGCTTCGTTCCTCAAACTGCTTCGCGTGAACTTTACGTGAGTTGTTTTCATGATCCCGCGATGTCGTTTCCTTTCCCAAACAGCTCCGTTTGCTTTTCCTTTTGCGACATTATTTTTTTATTAAACACTGTCGTTTGCTAGTACAGCGGTACCGTTGGGCTTGTTCACGGCACCGTTTTTAATTAAACGACACCGCTAACATAACCAAAAAATATCAATTCATGGAACCGCCGCGAGTCTACACTCGCATTGGGCTGGCGAATTTTGGTCACTTACCCAATATGGTTTATTTATTTATTTAATCGGTACCGCTTATCAAGGCTCTCGCGGCATCGTTTTTAAATCCGCGGTACCGTTTTTATTTTCCGCAATGCCGCTTGTCTCTACGCGGTGTCGTTCCACTCTCCTTCTCCGATAAGGAATAAAAACACTCTCCTTTTCCAACAGCAACACTAACCGTGCGGCCCATATCAAGTGCCGCGGTATCGCTGAGCTTCCTTGCGGTATCGTTTTAACTCTCCGCGATGCCGCTCGACTCCACGCGGTACCGATTTTCCCCTTCCGACAAGGAATAAAGATAATAATTAATTAGAGAAAAAACTCATTCTCCAACACCCAACTAAACGGGCGGCCCCCTTTTATTTTTTGGTAAGCAGTGTCGTTTCCAGTGCCGCGGTACCGCTGAGCTTCCTTGCGGTACCGTTTTTCTGTTTCGCGGTACGGTTTTAACTCTCCGCGACACCGCTCAACTCCAAACGACACCGTTTTTTACCCGCGGTATCGAATTAAATGCCGAGACTAATTAATGCGGCATTTAATTCCGGACAAATTAATTTTAGGTGTCAACAAATGCCCCCGCCAATTTGGTTTATAAGAATTATGAACCAAATTGTTGACATAACTTCAACCACCTAATTACACCTCAACACCACTGTACCACGCTGAATAACAAAAGAAAAAACAACGTCGTTCTCTCAACAACACTGCTGAATCATTCCGTGTAATAATTGGACAAAGCAACATTGAGGCCTCGTCCTTGTGTAACTAAAGTTTCCTTCTTCAACCAACACCATTCTCATCACCCTTTTCCCACGTGAGAAGCAATTTGCAAAAAACCATTCCATGTAGAATTCGAACACCTCAAAGGTGTGGCGGGACAGGTTACGGTGATTACTATTTTATAGTAATCACCGTGGTTATTAAGGGCAAATTGGGTATAACAAAAAATTTATTAATGATATTTTTTAATAAATTATATTTTAGGAAATTACATAAATATATTAAATACAATTTTTCTCTCTCTCTTTCTCTCACTTCCACAATTTTCAGCCAGATCTCTCTTCTTTCTTTTTCTCAATCTTTCCTTGATTTCGTTCATCCAAACTAATACCGCTGCAACAACAAAACAATAAATCAATACCAATCCATTAAAAAAATACTATCATTGTACAAAACATCAATACCATTCAAGAAATAAACACTACCATTTCACAAAACATCAATACCATTGCAGATTTAATCACTACCAATGCGACAAAATCAATACCAATGTAACAAAATCAATACCAATGCGACGAAATCAATACCAATGCGACAAAAATAATACCAATGCGACAAAAACAATACCAATATGACAATAACACTACCACTACGGGGAAAAATGACTACCATTTAAAAAAAATCACTACGAAAAAAAATGACTACCATTTAAAAAAAAAAACATACCAATGTACATCTCCACCGGGAAGTAAACGGTCATCGGCCAGAACCCCACCGACCCCAAAAGACCCACGATGTCGTTGAAGAACGGGAGCAACATGGAGATCAGAGTTGTGGTAATGACGAAGATGGTCCTCCACACCAATCTGAACAAGCTGAAGTTGTAATGGCCCCAGGGGGGTGGGATTCTTGATCACATCCACCGGGTTCAAAACCACCGCCGCCACGAACCCCGCCGTGAAGCTCGCCGTCACGTGGGTCCCCAGCCCGTCGCTCATCACCCCTTTCTCCAGAATCGTCTCCTTGAACTGGTCGTACGACGCCAATTGCGACGCCGTCACCAGCATTGCCCTGTTCACCGTCATTTCCAACAGTGATTCTGCGACTGACTACCAACCAACCAGGATCCACATAGCAATCAAGCAATTTGAAACGAATCTTCAAAGCATATTGGCATTCCCATTTGTAACTTATGACTCAGAAAACTCCACTAAAATCATCTGTTTCACCTCTGCTTTTGCCCATGCTCAATGTAACATGGGTTCTGCATCGCCCAAATACACCAAGGATAACAACAAAGCAATACAACTCAACTTTGATCTCTAATTGATGTGTTATCACCCACTTCTTTTTCATTACAGCACCAAGAAGACAACTATCACTACATTGGACTCATATGGCCATCCAATCTCCTGGATTAACGCGTTAAAAACGAGATACCGGCAATTCAGCACTTTCCAGTTCTGTCACAAAATTCTTTCGTTTCCCACCTCAGGATCAAATTCATACGTATCATTAACTCCCAACGGCACACTGCTTGGGAAGAGTTCCCGAAACCAGCACTTTAAATGACATTCTAAGCAAAATTGCTCCTATAAAACAGAAGTTCAGAACACTGCATGCATTAAGAAACCAAGAATGAAGAATCCAAACGACAAAAGAGCCCATACAAAGAATGGAAATGAAGGGAAGAAAAATTTGAGCTGACCTGTATGAGATATCCAAGACCAAGCCTCTAAAGCAAGCCAATTCATCGGTATCAAAATCAGTCTCATAAAAATCATCAGTGTCATCGTCATAACTTCCCCCTTCGCCCTCACTCCCACTCCCACTCCCACTCCCACTCTCACTCTCACCGTCAATACTCAGCCTTGCTTCTGCGTAAAATTTGCTTCTGGTTCTGGGGTTTTCACTAGTGGAGAAAACATGTAGCTTAGTAGTACCAGAGCCTAAGAAACTGAGTTTCCCCTTGTGGAGCTGAAACGATCTGAACCCATTACCAAACGCACCTCCCACTAGCTTATAACGAATTCCATCGCTGTTGAAAAGCAGTTTCAGGCGCCCTTGTGCTGTGAATTGAGCCATCGTTCAAATTCAGCAACTGCTGCTGAAGTCGAAGAGTATTAGTGGGTTTTGCAATGGAGTGGTCTCGGGTAGATGATTCGTAATTCAGACGGTGTAGTGCACATTTAGAAGAGAAGAGGATGGAGACATTGTTCGTTGGAAGTTAAGAACAAAGCAGAATTGCAGCAGATTGCAGTCGATAAAAAGACCCCCAAATCGTCCATCTTTTGAGCAAGTATCATTCAGTCTTCAAACACAAACCCCCAACAAAGCTTCCGACTCAGACAAAGCTGCGACCCACCCAAAAAAGATTGCATACAAGCTGAGTTTACTTAATCCCACCATTGCACTCAAGTACTCAACCTAAATCCCTCATTAGAAACAATAATCATTGCTCTTAACCTAAATCACTCATTAGAAACACTCATCCAAACGACCCCTATGTGCAATCTGGCTATTAGTTTGACAACTTTTTTACTATGGATTAAAATCACCCTTTATATTTGACCAGATACGATATAGATTTCAAAGAGTTGAAAATTAAATGTAATGGTGAAAATTTTACTTGGTAGTACCCCTGTAGCGGAGTATTTGTTGTGCCTCCTAGCAAAAATTTCAACGTTATTTATAACAGTTTAGGGGTCGTTTGCTTCAAGGATTTGGTACATGGATTTGGTACCAAAAAACCAACTATCAAGGATTTAGGTACAATCCGTTGTTTGCTTGCACCTTTTTTGGATACCAAATCCGTGGGGCCCACGGATTTTAAGGGTCCAAATCCGTGGACCCCACAGACTTATAAATCCCACATGTTGATGTGGGATTTGGAATATGACATAAATCCTTGATGAGATTTTACCCATATACCCTCATGCACTTTTAATATTCCAAAGTTGCCCTCAAATTCAACTATTATACATTATAATTAACAATAAATGAATAATATAAACGTTCAATTAATGTGCAAACATGAGTTAGATTTTTTATATCATTTCTTGTGTTCTAGTTTTCTTTGACCTTTTCATGGAACGTGTAATTCTTTGTTCTCCCGATTCTAATATATGTTGTTATATGTCACTTTTGAAAAGGAGGACAAAGAATTGGTAATTGATTATGTTACGTTAAAAGTTAAAACGGAATTTTCTCGTTTATTATTATTGTCCATGTGGCAACATTATGCTTATTAGTATGTATTGTCTTTGTTTTGTGTACATATCATAAACATGTCAAACATATAGAAAATGATAGCAAGGTAATTTTGAGGTTTTGTCATTGTTTTGCGTACATATCATACACATGTCAAACATATAGAAAAGGGCAGTAATGTAATTTTTGACTTTAAGTAGTAAATCCCACACCTTTAAATCCATGATAAAAACATCCCAACAAACAAAGGATTGTTACAAATCCATGATGCCTCAAATCCTTGATAAATCCTTGGGTTTTTAAATTACAAACCCCTCATTTTTAAATCCATGAAGCAAACGACCCCTTTGTTAGAAGTATGAGTACCAAACTGTAATTGTCCGTGATAGGGTTATGAGCTATGGCCGTGTATATATATGTTGATAGGCCGATCCTGTAAGGTTAACAAACAAGTGAATAAGATCAAACTCTGCCGTTGTGCCGTGGACTAGTCCCAACGATCATCGTTGGGGAAACCACGTAAACTTGTGTCTCGTGTTCTTCGTTTTCTCGTATTGATTGACATGGTATCAGAGCCATCTGTGACCGAGAGGTCTTGTGTTCGAATCCTGATAACCCCCATTTGTTAAGCACATGGTATGTGCACCTGTGCAAACTTCAAACCTTTATGAGTGGCTTTCGTTTGAGGGGGCGTGTTAGTGTGGTATATGATCCACGATTGAACCTCTCCCAACAACTCGTCGTGATTTGATCGTGTTACGATTCTCGGTGTCGTGATTTGTGGCTTCTCGTGTTCGTGGTGTTCGGCTTCCCGTGCTCGCGGTATTTTTCCGGGTTTCTCTACTTTGCAGTTTATCATGGAGGGTTCGAAGACGGACGTGATTGCGGTTCGCTTCAATGGTAAGAATTATGCGTTATGGGAACTGCAATTTCGTCTTCATGTTCAGGGTCGGCGGCTTTTGCCGATTCTCACCGGTACCTCGGCTGCGCCTGCCGAGACGGCTACGTCGAAGGAGAAGGAGGATTGGGCTATGTACAATGCACAGGTTATGGCTTCTCTTCTTGGTTCGGTTGACCCGGGCATTGCCCTTAGTTTGAGGGGTTTTGATACAGCGGCTGCAATTTGGGATCACTTGAAGAAGCTTTATTCCAAAGCTAGTGTTTCCCGCAAGTTTGATGTGGAGCAGGCCCTTGCTCTTTTACGCCAAGGAGATATGGACATTAGCACTTACTATCAAGAGGCGGTGACCCTATGGACGGAGCAAGATTTGATCTTGGCCTCGTTATCTTCCTCGCCAGCGACGTCGGATATGCTTCTTGAACGCGCCAGCTCGCGCGTCATGCGCTTCCTTATGCAGCTGCGGCCTGAATATGAAGGCATAAGGGCTTCTTTATTGCACCGAAATGTATCAACTATGGAAGAGGTGCTTTCGGAATTACTTCGAGAAGAAACGCGCCTTAAGAGTCAAGCAAAGCTTGACATCCATACTACTGAGACTGGGGCAGCATTTGCGGTTGGTGCTGGGAAATCGCAGGGGGCAGGTAGACCTCAATTTCACCGCACAGCTAAGGGTGAAATTGTGTGCTTTCACTGCAAAGAACCGGGGCATATCCAATTTACTGTCCGCGACGCAACACCTGTAACTATTGTAAGCTTGAAGGTCACCTCATTGCAGCGTGTCCCACTCTTGCTCAACGTCGGCGCTCTCGGTCGGGTGGAGCTCGTGAGGGTGGCTCTCGGTCAGCATCCGGTGGTGCGTATGCTACGCTGCCTGGCAATTCTGCAGCAAGCTCTTCTTCGTCCGCTGCACCTCTTACTTCCGACGACGTGCGTCGCCTTGTGCAGGAGGCCTTGCAAGCAGCTTTGCCCAACGCCTTGACGTCCGCATTTGCCACTGGTATGCCTTCTATTGATTCCCCTACTTGGCATATTGACTCTGCAGCTTACAATCACATGACGAGTTCTCGACGGGTATTTCGTACACTTGATAAATCCTCATCCGCTATGGATTTACAGGCCGCGAATGGCTCTCGTATGGCTGTTTCTGGGGTTGGTCATGTGATTCAGCCCCATATATCTCTACCTAATACGTTATATGTCCCTCAACTCGTGCCCAGTCTAGTTTCTGTGGGTCAGTTAGCTGATGACGGGTGTCGTGTCATATTTGATAAGAATGGATGTACTGTGCAGGACACGATGACGGGGAAGGAAGTAGGGAGAGGGAGTAAGCGAGGCAGGACCTTTCTACTTGACCATTACACTCGTTCGGCTGCTAATGGTGCAGCAGGTGTTCCCGAGCTGACCAGGACGAGTGGACTATTGGAGGCTGGAGCTGGGTCAAGTAGTTGTGTAGCTGGGTCTAGTGATAGTGAGGGTTTACCGTTATCGGATAATAGAGTTGGTTTTTCAGTTAAATTGTCAAACTGGGATTTGTGGCATTTTCGATTGGGCCATCCGAATTCTTTGCACTTCGTGCTATGTTTCAGAATAAATGGTTATCTGGTAATGATTTTCATGGTCCCGATCATGAGTGTATTCACTGTGTGCAAGCCAAGATTTCACAGCGTTCCTTTACTTCCAGTGAGACTGTTTATTCTGCACCATTTGAGCTTGTGCACACAGATTTATGGGGTCCTTCTCCAGTCACGTCTCGATTGGGATTCCGATATTTTTCATTGTTCGTCGATCATGCTACCAGGTTCACTTGGGTGTTTTTTCTTCGTCAGAAGTCTGAGTTGCTGGATAAAGCTCAAGAGTTTTTTCAAATGGTTTCTACTCAATTTGGGAAAACTGTCAAGATCCTACGGTCGGATCAAGGTGGGGAGTTTACTTCGCATCCGCTACAGGCTTTTCTACGTGACCGTGGTATTTTGGTGCAACAGTCTTGTCCGGGTGTCTCACAGCAGAATGGGTTGGTGGAACGGAAGAATCGCCATGTCTTGGAACTTACTCGTGCCATTCTATTTCATTCTCAAGTTCCTAAAAGTTTTTGGGTTGAAGCGGTTCACACAGTGGTTTATTTGATCAATCGTCAAGTCACTTCCGTGCTTCAGCAGCGTAGTCTGTATCAGGCGTTATATTCTCGGCTTCCTAACTATGGCTGGCTGCGTGTGTTTGGGTGCACGTGTTATGTTCTATTAACACGTAAAGAACGTGACAAGCTCTCTCCTAAGGCTGCCCATTGTGTTTTTCTCGGCTACAGTGATAAGCATAAAGGTTATGTGTGTTATAATCCTAGCTCTCGGCGAGTACGCATCTCATGTCATGTTGTATTTCTCGAGCACGTGCCCTTTTATGGCTCTCCGGATGCCGGGTCTTCTTCTGTACCTGATCTTGAGTTTCTGCGGCCTTTCGGTTTACCTCCTCAGGAGCTGGGTTCTGTGGAACCAGCTATGGCGGGTTCTGAGCAGGATAACTCCACCGATTCGAGTTTCCAGCAGCCTTCCTCCTCGTCAGCAGCATCAGGTTCCTCGGCTGGCTCTACTTCCTCGCATTCCTCATCATCGGATGAGTCTGGTCCCTCACCTCCGATGTCCCCTGGGTCTTCTTCTTCCTCTGGGTCGTCATCCAGTTCAGGACCGCAGCCATCTAGTGCCGAGGAAGCTGGCCCCCAGCTGCGTCGTTCCCTTCGGGCTACGAAAGGTGTGCCTCCTCGCCATCACTCTGAATTTGTTGCCTTTTCCACTCCTTCTATTGTTGTTCCCGCTACTTATAAACAGGCCAAAGGAATTGAGCATTGGGAAAAGGCCATGAATGTAGAAACGGATGCTCTTGAGGCGACGGGTACATGGGATTTGGTAGTTCAGCAGCCTGAGTTCTCTGTTATTGGTAGTAAGTGGGTTTATACGATTAAGATGCATCCGGATGGTACGGTGGAGCGGTTTCGAGCTCGAGTGGTTGCACAGGGGTTCCGTCAAGAGTATGGAGTAGACTATGCCGAGACTTTTGCTCCTGTGGCAAAAATGCAGACAGTCCGGAGTTTGTTAGCGGTGGCAGCTATGAAAGGGTGGAATTTACTTCAGCTTGACGTGAAGAATGCATTTCTTCACGGCGATCTGAAGGAAGTCATTTATATGGAACGTCCTCTTGGATATACTCGGGGAGACAGTTCGATGGTGTGTCGTCTGCGCCGATCT